ACGCGCTCAGTTTGATCATCGTTCTGCGAATGGTCCGCTGATTACATATTCAGCTTGGTGCCCAGCACTTTGAAGATCGTTGACCAAAACTTTCTAGTGAAGCGTGGGTCTCTGTCAGAGTCAATTGACTCCGGGAGTCCATGTTGTCGAAAGACACGATTCACAATCAGCGTCACTGTACCGACACCATCGATGGTGTCTGGCACCGCCGCAGGATGAACCATCTTGTAGAAAAAGTCTACGAAGACCACGACACCCGTGTTGGCCGTCGAGCCCTTCGGCAGGCCAAACACAAAGTCCGAACTCATGGACTGCCAGCACCCGGAGGGTACCGGCAAACTGGCGAGCGGCACCGACGCATTCGGAGAGGGCTATACCCGTTGATACGTCTCACACGTGCGCACATAGGTGCTAGTTCATTTGTACAGCTTGAACCACCAGTAGCGGCAACTCACAGAGCTGTACGTCATCTCACGACCGGGATGACAAATGGGTGGGTTGTCGTGGGTCTCAAAGAGGATGCGGTATTTCAAATTCTCATCGTGATGAACCACAATTCGTTGCGTATTCGTCAAAACGGTGGTATAATATAGCAACTCGTCATTCAGCGAATATCAATGTAACTGTGCGCGCAATCGCGCCGACAATTTCTTGTCCGAGTTTGAACCCTCCTTTCTTCCGAGAGTCTTTAGCAGCACTACACACAAAGCATCACCCGCGTATGCGGCGCGATTTAACTCCGTCACTGACGAGTCACCGCCGTGACATTAGCAAGCTCATGTATGCGTGAGAACGCATCAGCCAAAGCATTCTGCACGGAGACTTGCAGACTGACATTAAACTATCGTTACTTCGTTCCTGGCTTATTCTTTACCTCGACGTTATATTCTGCAAAGAGGGAGAGCGACCAGGCCATCTTATGTGAGAGGTGAGGCGACTGAGTCGCATGATCTGTGTAGATCACGAACGGCTCGTAGGCAAGCAGGTGAGCTCTCAGCTTGACAAGTGCAAACTTCATCGCAAGTATACGTTGTCGTGAACTGGAATGCTTTTCGCAGCAGCCTTGAGCTGGCGACAAACGAACGCAATCACCCGATCTCGCTTCTTGGCGTCTCCTTGCAGCAGTGCAAAGCCGATGGCAGTGTCCGAAGCGTCACAGATAACACTTAATGGACGATCAGGGTCTGGCAATGCCAATATTGGAGCTTAAAAGAGGCTGTCTTTGACCCCGTCAAAAGCCTCCCGATGCTCGGTGTACCAACACCATTTCGCATCCTTCCAAAGGAGTTTCAACAATGGTCTTGTCATTTCCGCGTAGGTTTCGCTGTACTTGTGCAAGTAGTTGGCGAGGCCAAGCCACTTGCGCAAGTCCTTTTGTTTTTTTGGATCCGGCCTTGACCTTAGCGGGATCTGTTCGATGGCCACGCTTCTCAATGAAGCACCCTCAAGGAAATTTCTCTTCGGCGCCGAAGATGCACTTGTCTGCATTAGCATACAGGTTATTCGTGCGCATGCACTCGAGCACCGCTCTTAAATGAACGATGTGGCTTACTTCATCCGTCTTCACGTGCTCCGCATGACTGAGGACGAAGATGTCGTCTATACGCTGTGCATACGCCCGGTATGGCATGAACAACTTTGTCATAATACGATTAAATGTTTCTGGTGCATTTGACAATTCCTTGGGCATCATCAGCCTCCTCCAGAGAATGCCACTCGGAGTTCTCACGGCAGTCATCGGAATATCACGCGCTGTCATGAGCAATTTGTGATTAAGTCGGGTGCACGGTACTTTGTACATCCAACCATATTGTTTTGGAGGACCTCCTTCCCAGAAATCTGTGTCTTTGCTGGAATGGTGGCAGCGTTTAGCTTATTGCAAGCGTGAACGATACGCCACTTGCCGTTCGGCTTCCGGACACAAAACGTGGGTGTCCAATGGGGAGATTTGCTCTCATGCAACATTCCTGCATCGTGCCTCGCATGGAATAAGGCGTCAATGACGTCACACTGCTCCTTGGGCAGGGGCCATTGACGTGGTTCGAAGTATTTGGTTCCCGGAACCAGGTCGATTTTATGGCGCACACCGGTCCGGAGGTAGGACCTACAGCGGGTCTTTGGAGTCGACGTCTTGAAATTTTTTCACCAAAGGGTAATACGGTTTGAGGAATACTTCCGGATCGAATATCTACTTCGTGCGCTGACCACCGTCTTGATTTAGCTTTACCCAGAAGCGACGACGAGTTGATCTCCTCTTCTGGTCGTACAATGATCAATTCGGCTAAGTTGCTTGCCTTCAAGGAAGCAACGAAATCTTCAAGGGACATCTCGTCCAGTTCAAGAAGAGCATCCACCGCAGGAATAGCTTCGAGAATGACGTCGACGTCTTCCTATCTCGTCAAACCGTTGCCGAGGGTGGATAGCTGTGCGCTTTCGTCTACGGTACAGGGTCGTCACCCGGCGTCTCGCAGCTAGGATACGGCGTCGCCGTCGCCTCTCCTCAGAGGTTTTACGTCTCAGTGGTAGCTTGCACTCAGCGTCGCCCAGTGTTAGCCGATCATCCTGCCCCACCGGCGCCATGATGTTATTAACAACCTCTGACGAAGAGTTGCTAGCTCCGCATTCTTTGTCCAGCGGATAGTCTGCCACTCCACGCGTATCTGAAGGGTCTTACCCAAGATGCCTCGGACCTTTTCACAACCATGCCACTCGTGGCATGCAGCGACTGCTTCGAGACGTGAGCAGTGCTCTGTGGGCTACGTGCAACTCCACGTGCATCACTCAAGCCTCACCCTCGATACCTCGGCCCTTGGCCAACCATGCCACGCATGGCACGCACCGACTGCTTCGATACTTGAGCAGCGCTCAGTGAGTCACGGGCCGCTCCACGTTCAGCCCGCGAGCAATGCTCGGGACTCCTGCGATGACGGATACTCCAATCTCCGGTACGTTGACCGTCTCGGTCCAGTGACCGCTCCAATAGCGTTATTGCCCCCTAGCAAAGGTGGGTTCATGACTCATAAAAGCTTCACTAGCGGATGTGCGTGTGGCGCCCAAGGTCTTCAACCTCCAGTCGATCCATAGCTCATTGTGCTTCAGCCATGCCATACCAAGGATGAGGTCATATCTTGAATCCAAGTCTAAGACCAAGCAGCGTTTCACGCTACCAAAGTCAAGAAAATTGACATTGAGGTCCACAGGGACCTTCGGCACCGTGTTACGTGATCCCATCGCTATGCAAGCAGTGACGATGTCATTCAACCACGCTTCCAGCGCCTCACCATATAGCTGACTTCCATCGATCGTGGAGTGTCGAGATAATTTGTCCGACGCCGCGGAGTCGATCAGGACCTTCCATGGCTTCTCAAAGCTTTTTAAGATCGCTTTCACGGCCAGTAAACCGTGTTTAAGAGCACGGATCTCTTCGATGCAGGACCCTGCTGACTTCTACCTCCTTGAGACTCAACAAAATCAGTTCTTTCCCAGTAGGCCACCCCGCACCTATGTGTATTTGAAGACGGATGCAATCCATCGTATAGGTTTGCGGACTGTTGTTCTTTCTAGTCAAACTATTTTGCTAGGTGTTGTCGATTCCCCGCGACAGACCAGAAGACTGGTAAGAAGCAAAACATTCGTTCGATGAACCTTGACGCGCCTTGCGCAGAGGGCAACCACTCCGAAGATGACGGGTGTCTCCACAGACCAAACACCGTCGGGTCTTCGAACGCTGCTCGGCAGCTCGGCGATCTCCCTCCCCCTCTAAGTATAGCTGAGATCCATCGGCTCTGAGCTGCTAGAGTGTGCATTCCAACCAAGTCGTGCCAACCAAGTAACTTAAAGCTGCATTCGGCTCTCGATGCCACATTCACTGCTTCTTCAAAAGAACACGGGCGCACACGGAAAACTTCCATTCTGGCCACGCCGGTGTGGAGACCACGATCACTATGACCGCCTCGAAAATAGGATCGGCTGCCATACCGGCAATGAGAGTATGCAACTCTTGGACAGAATCCACCAACTCCTTCTTGCCCTGTCGGGCGGCAAGGAAACGCGATATGCCTGGTTAGGCGGCGATAACACTCGTGAAAGCTTCAGCTTCAGCTCCGTCCGGGAAGGAAACGCCGCTTCGACCGAACTGCCGCACGTCAGTGCCCATTTTCGCGCTCGGACCCCGGGCTTGGAGATAGCTAGCGCCACGCGCTGTCGCTCGAGCTGGCCATGGCGGAATCCATGGCAATCTCGACCTTCCTCACTGGACCCTTGCCCTGGACGGTCTTAACACTCACCATGAGCGGCTGGGGTCGGGGGGGAGTCATCCGTCGCCGACGGTGGCGTCATGGACACAGTCGACGCAGACATCTTCTGCTGTAGGTGCTCTGGCAGAGCATATTCATAGCTTGAAAACAATGCTAGACGCGCGCTTATCGCTTCAGGTTCTTGCGAAGTGAGTGTTGCACGCCCTCAGGGCCAAACAGAACCATCAGTTTTGTAAGCCCATTGTGTGAACAGACCATCTTGTGTAACCTACACCCTTCATACCAGACCCCATTACCTACACCTGTACTAGATCTATAAATTCTACCAAATGTCATGAAAACTATCCATTACTTTTGACGTGTAATGAACCTGTCTTTACGAAACCACACCATCCTCATAAAAAGCAATGTTACATATCAGTTTATTGTTTTAAAAGTCAGCACAATCATAGTAATAACGGATATTCACAATTACACCAAAGTGCAATGTGACGTTCCTACAGTTGTATGGTATTCAAAAGTATCATTTGCACAACACGCACAAAAGTTTGTCGTGTAGCAGAGCAAAAAACGCGGCGGTTACGATCACTTTACTTACTTTAAGAGGTTTGGTTGGTCTTAGATATAGTGGACCAATTTTTTTGGACCTGGCATAAGAAATTCTGGTGGACAGAAGAACGAAAATTCATCAAATCTTCGTCGAGTTTATGCGGCTTTGTTTTACATGCATTAATCAAAATTTGCTCACGCTCCACGACGACGCGCAAGAATTGCAGCCAGCTCACCGCCGACTCCACCATTTACTGACGAGCTTTTCACATTCTCGCCAAACTTGCGCACGGAATCCATTGATCCTTTTGTTGATTTTTTCGATGTCAAGGCATGCTTGCGGGCTTCCTTTTCAGCTTGCTTTTTCGCCTTCTTTTCAGCCACCCGACGAAGTCGCTCTGCTTCCCGTTCCTGGCTACGCTGTTGTTGCCGCTGAGCTCGTATCGCCAGCTCTTCCTCGCGCTGCCTTTCCAATTTCTTACGGCGTGTCTTTTCGCGTTTCCGCCGCTTGCGTATGTACTCATCAGGTACGCCAGGCGCAACTTCGATTCGCACATTGTTGGCATCTCCTGTAATTCTGTCCTGATCTGACGCTACGAACTGAAACTGCTGGGTAGGTGTTCTTGATAGTCCTGCGCTTGCTGCTCGTCGCAAGCGAATGGAATCCTTAAAATTGATAGGTGTCACAACACTAGCCAATGAGCGTATAGCATCAACAAGCGTGACTGCGATTTCGGTCTTCTTTTCGGACAACAGAAGCTGGTCTTCAGGCATCTCAGTCGACATCAATCCGATTACGTTATCGTACACACGCACTGGCGTGTAAAAACCTAAGTCAGGTACCACTTCAAGTTGCTTGCAAACGTCACTGCAGTAAATGTTGCCGGTGTACCGACAATGATGGCGACGATTGAAAAGCCCAAATTTTTTGCCAGTCGCCATACAAACCATCGTCGATTTATTGTCTGCCCAATTGCTCTTGTTTGGCTCGACAAGAAGCGGTTCTTGATGCACTCCAAGGATCAAGTATGGGTCGGCTAGAGTACTCATAGTAATTTCTTCGATGGCAGTCAGCCGTAGACGACGACGTAAGTACACCAACGGTGTTTGCCATGTGCTTTTGAGGTCTACCACTGGTTGCCACAAACGTTTTTCCATCAGATATAAATACTGATCAGTAACAATCAAAATACGTCCCTCCACCATGATAGGAGATCCATCTGGCAGTATTCCAGTGACAGGAACAACTTTTTTGATTTCGTCCATGAATATAATCTTTTTGGAATCGCCATAGTGCTGGATGATCTTCATGACTGCTTCACGAATTGCGCCGTCGCGAAGATAATCTCCATTGAACGGTCGGTATATACTCACGCGCTGACGTTGCTTGTTGCTTGATGTATAAAGTTTTGTAATGTCATGGTTTAGTAAAAGTAAATGGCGACGACCAAAGTATCTCTTCCATGCCTTCTGGATTCGCATCACGAATGAGCCCAACTTATTCTCGCGTAGTTTTTCGAGCTCGAAAAACGTTTCAGGCGTTTGAATAAAGACCATTGTCTTTCCAAGTTGAATCTCGGTCTCCAGTTGTGGCAGCGACTTAGCGGCAGCACGTAGCACTGCTTGCGTACCTTTTTTGTCCGAACCGCGAAACTCCGGATATGTCTCTTTGCTTAGTAAACGAAAACGATCCACGAAGCGTCCATAGTCTCCACGGTAGGCATAGCCGGCGCGACGAACCTTTACATTTTCAAGAAGGCCCAGATATTTAATTTGATGAATAACACGGCGGTCATCCATCTTGTTTGGCTGCTTTTGGTCATTCGACTTAATGCACCGTACATAATGAGGTGTGCAATCCATTAAGGCGGTCACAAGTGCTTCACACTGAGTTCTAATCTTGTGTCCTGCAGTATTTGGCATACGCTTGTCTGTTAGGTCAATCTCCTCAGGAAAAATATAGCGCACTAGTTTGTTGGACGTCTCGCTGATAATGAGCGCAATATCCTTGCTTAAAAAATCTTTGTTGGCATCTCCAAAACCATCAATACTGTAATGTACATTTCCTGCGTAATGTTTGATTTCGAACGTTTTGCCACGCTTGGAAAAGTGCGGGTGTGACCCATGGAGACTCGCCACCTTCTCCAGAAAATTCGCATCCACGCTCTCTCCTTGGCGGGAGTGCATTGTCTTGACTGTGTCATCAAGAATAAGAAAAATACCAGGCGTCGGTCGTCTTGCTTCAATCAAATCGCACACAACCTTGTTGTTGAAGAACGGGATCGGTGCCCATTCAATGCCCTCGCGGGCATACTCTTCCTGTTCACTTTTTAGTGTGAGCTCAATAAAAATCTGCTGAAGTTTTTCATTCACATAATTGATACAAAATTGCTCAAATCCGTTCTTGTCAAAAATTTCGAATCCGTAAATATCTAAAATTCCAATCGTCGTAAGATCGGCAATCTCCAGATTTTCGCCGAGCTTTTCCGCTTTTTTTTCAATATCTAGGGCATGATTGATACGCTCGACTAGAAAGTCAAAGAGTCGATCATAAACTGTCTTAGCAATTGAATCACGTTGCGCCTTTGCTTGACTTGTATTCTGAGGTACCTCGTATGACTCAATTTTACCTCCCGGCGCCATCGTTTGCAGCAACTTGTAACATAGTGCGTGCTCCACACGTGCGACATCAAGTCCCAACAGCTCACACGCCATCTGCAAACTTTGACGGTCGTGAATGGATGAACCCTCTGCATCTCCAACTGTCTTGGGTTGAAATTGTACATTACCAATATGCAACACGGCCGCTAACGTCTGGATTACAAGTTCAATCTGTTTGCGTTTAATACCAACATGCTGCATGGCCGCCATCGTTTCTTCAAATTCCTGTGCGTCATTAACGTCGTCAACATCGTAACAGCCACTAGCTTTTAAGTAATGATACATTTCAGGTCCACTTCGATCTAAGCACAGTTTCTCCTTGGCAGCGAGGGGTAGACCAGCTAATAATTGGTAGAAAATATGAAAGTTTCTTTCCCCTTTACCAGGTTTCACAACTCGCGACTTTTCCAGCAAATAGTTCGTCACTTTACCACCTTGAGGACGTCCTGCCGAATCGAACAAGAGCTCAAAATATTTCCCAAAACGACTTGAGTTGTTGTTGCGCAGAGTTTTCGCGTTTCCGAACGCTTCAAGTAGCGGGTTGCTCTCCAAAAATGTGCGTTTAACCTTATCAACACCTGCGCCACTGCCACTGACACCTGCAATATAGTTCTGAATCTGTTTCGAGGCCTCCGTCTTTCCAGCGCCACTTTCGCCACTGATAATGACGCACTGATTGTCTTCCTCACTAAGCATGGTGCGGTATGTCTCTTCTGCCGTAGCGAACACATGCGGTGCCACGTCAATACGAGCTTTATGCTTGTAGGCAATCATGCTGTCTTCGCCATAGATATCCAGCCATTTGTATGGATTTACAACCACCAGCACGTGGCCAATGTATGAGTAGATAACGTCGGCGGCGTGGCGCATCTTGAGATTTTCAAGAATCGACGTCTCATTTACGGACGTGAGTAGCACTAGATCATCTACACCTACCACGACGCGTTCAGCCGTGAACAGCGCGGGCTTGACATCCGTTGTGGGGTTGCGCCGCCCCATTGACGACTGCGAATTGAGTGTGTGACACGCATTTCGCAAGCCTACTTGATATTACTAGACAGTTAAAAAAGTACTACCTGGTTTATTTTCAGGCTTTTAACTTGCAATTCGTATGATTAGCATTGCGGAAACGTGCACTGATTGCGCTGACAAGAAAGTAGAATACTATATTCTTGAATCGTAATTCGGCACTTGTATTGCACACAAAGATAATTTTAATAGAAATAACCTTTATCTAGAATTAAACAGATTATTTCTCACTAAAAACGTACTTCAAATCTATCAATAGTAGACTTCTGCCACGATTTATTGGTAAACACACAACTTTGACCTTTTGTAGCATGTTGTTCATTGTAAACGTGATTACTACAGCATTGTACTACAGCATTGTATTGCCGACTCGCCATTTTCTGTCATAAAATTACAGCTGATACCTCTATTTCTGTTCTGCCTGCTGCTGTTGCATGATGTCGGTGTAGCTTTCTTGTAGACGCACAGATGATCGCATGGTGTGGCGCAAAAACTTTTCGGCGCAGTTGTTAACGCAGGACGTCTCTTTGTCGTCCAGCTTCTTGCTGCGAAAGGCGTGCACACAATCCGTAAAGCATAGCTCCACCGTTCGGCTGAAGTATGCGATGGTCTGCGTCACGCGCATCTCCTCAATGTGCTCCTCCATCTTGCGCTCGAACTCGCGCTGGCTCATGGTGAAGGGATATTTTGTTAATTATGACCAACCAATCTAGAAAGCAAACTTTTTCTTGAGCATTACATACTATGCTTTAAAAGTAGTGTAGTTTATTTCCATATTTTGGGTCTTGCACAAATTACTAAAATGTCCAGCAAGTGCCTTTGGTAGCAACCTGCACAACAGCCTGTCATGTCTTGGCCAAGGCTCGTTTTGATCAGCTCGGAAGATTCTTCATTACAGGAAACTACATTTTGTGCCTGTGATTTAAAGACATATATTCTAGCTACATAGTAGAAAGATAAAATAGAAATCGGGTGGCTAATACTGTTATAATCATACGGCCGAGCACAGCAAACGCCACGACGGATGCAAATGTAAAACAGCTGCGAGTGATTATATCATACTTTGCGCCACATCAGACCTGGGCATAAAATACGGGCAACACCGTTTCGAAACAAAAAAGTCTTGTTTTGTCAAAGCGCACATTAGTTCATTTCGCCTCCTTACCCAGAGTCAAATTAGCTATTCAAATACAGTACTGTGGTTTATTACATGATGAATCTAAATGCTAACTTGCAAAATGCAACAGTATAAAAATCAGGGCAGCAAATGTTGCATGCCAAAGAAAAATGATGTCCAGTACAAGATCTAGAACTGTAGCAAATATTTTTTCATTTTATTAAGAGATAAAAAACTGTATGAAATAATTACCATAAAGTAGAGGTACTTATCAGAGTTTTAATCGGTAAACTGGTTGACGTAGCTTTTGACCATTCATCGCTTTGATCTCTCGCTGTCAAGAGTATGGCTACTGTCGCCATGCATCGTCTGCTGCATAGCATGGCGGCGCTGACTGTATCTGTGCGACCTTTGAGTATCTTACGCTCAGAGAAAACGCAAATTATTCCGCATAATCTATCTCTAGCCAAAGAGAAGCCCATTCCGCCACCGCGCGTGATTGCGTCTGCGCTGAAGATCAAAGTGAAGCCGTCGGGAGATCTGGAGCTCCAGATACAATCAATTGCTGGTGATGCACCGAACCTCGGAAATGTCAGCTTGGATTCCGCGGTATTTGGGGCACCTGTTCGCATTGACATTCTGCAACGTGTTGTGCGCTGGCAGCTGGCGTGCCGTCGTGCAGGCACCAACAAGACTAAGACGCGATCAGAAGTAAGTGGCTCGACGCGCAAGCCATGGAAACAAAAAGGTTCCGGCCGTGCTCGTGTGGGTGATATTCGTGCACCGCAGTGGCGTGGAGGATACCGCGTACATGGCCCAGTGCTACGGGACTTTTCCTATAGCTTGCCTAAGAAGGTTCGCGCAATGGGCTTGCGCGTAGCGCTGTCAACCAAACTTCGAGAAGGAAAACTGGCTGTCATTGACTCACTTGATACTGATGTATGTACCTGTCACTCTATGGTCTAATTATGTTTTGTGTTGACGACTCAATTTATGTAACAGGTCAGTAAGACTAAAGATATGAAGAAATTGTTGGGCAGTCGTGGATGGAATCATGCGCTCTTTGTAGGAGGCAAGGAGGTGAATTCAGATTTTGAACTAGCCACCCGCAATATACCATACGTGGATACGATCCCGCAAAACAAGATTAATGTTTACTCGATCCTGCAAAAGGACCTGCTTATCATCACCAAAGACGCTGTCGAGTACCTAGAAAAGCGTCTCCACGTCGACTAAATACTATTAGTAGAATGGTCGGCAGCACGTGTAGACTCTATGGGTGGCAAGCAACAATCTTTTTGACAATGTTTCACTTAGTCTGTTGTTTGCAATCAAAGACGCCGGAGTAAAGTCTTAAGTGGTTTGTCATATTCACGCTCCACGTTTTAATCACGGGTGCCCATCCCCTATCCGTCACAAGTGCGTCTTGTACGGTGAATGCACTGACACGTGAGTGACCTCGACTTTGACCTCAGCAATCATCGAGTAAGCCTTACCAAACGATTTGTTAGTAATAATTTGTGGAATCCGATGTTATCCGATCAAACATATTACTTTAATGCAGTTCTTAAATCCGATGCAACAAATTACCATTTCAATAAGACTCTTTACTCCATTTTGGCTTTTGAATCGCATAACGGCACGTAGCTCATGGGACCGCTTCCCCGTCTACCCCTGAGCGGCCCGTTGTCATGGTCAAAGCAAAAAGCAAAAGATCTCTAAGCCAGCAGATTTCATATAAAGTATCGGTCAAATAGTAAAAAAACAAATTTTGCCAATTATCTTAACAAATTATAATTTCTGAAACAATAAAGTGAGCTGATTATTTTCTTTCATAAATAGAATCATAAATACTACCGTTGGATGAACATTTTTTTGTTTGTTTGTATTTGAATTGTGTGGTAATAATATTTTAAGCAGATTCCTCCTCAGAGAAAACATTATATTTTTTTGATACCAGCAAATTTCTATTACAAATTAAGATCTATATAATCAGAGTTTAAAATAGAAAATTCCAAGTAAGACATTAAAATTTTATTTTCGTTTAGAAATTCATATTTTATGAGGAAAAAAAGTAATGATTGTTTACTGATAAAAAAACCAGTACTAAGTATAAACTAATATTTTTGTTCTGTTTTGAATTTTCATATGTGATGTCTTCTCTGTATTTCTAAAAAAAATAAGATGAAATGATAACCCATAAACGTTGTAGTTAGAAATTCGTATATATATTCTTTTCTACGGTAATAATAATACATAGTCAAATGCACAATTCATCGATCAACGCTTTTTAAATTTGAAAATATAAAACATTAGAATCAATCCAATATATCACTTATTTTTATTGTTTAGAATCTTTTAGCATCACCATCAATAAAGTATATCACATAAATATAAATTATACTATAAAACTATCTGTTTCATTTTTTCCTATTTATTATTTTCTTTTTTATATTTATTTCATGATTAAAAGTAATTTTATCAAAAGATTCTAGTACTATTGTCGCGCAGAAATACGAGTTTAACTTTCTCGTTAAAAGATACACATATTAGTTTTTGGCATATTGCAGTTGGTTGGTGCCTTTGTAATAACAAATTTTTCATTATTAATTCTGATTTTCGTGATAATGAAGGATGGAAAAATAGTAGATCTGATTTACATAGGATTGGGAAGATCAAAGACTTTAATTAGAAATTCGTTAATACATCCTGGAACGCTGAGCTTTCGATGCTAAAGAAAAGTCAGTAACAACTCAGTTTGTACGCATAAATACTCTCACAGACTACAATAGACTCCAACATTTTGTTTAGGCTTAATCAGTTTTTAAGGGCTTCACTTTGTTTTAAAAACAAGAAAGATCATTAAGAATTGTCAATTGTGCAGCACACCAAGAAGGTCCTTTTGACGTGACATTTTCCTTTTCGGAAATTGGCCGAGTATACTTCTTACATTCTGCTATAGCAATCAATGCGGAACAGGTTGCAGCAGTAGAAGATTTTTCTTCCCTTTCCCAAAAGCTCATTTTTCATGTGTACATTAGGTCTTCATCGGTATGGACATAATTCAGCGACTTTCATGCGGACCAGCCTAAAGCCACAGCGGCCGTTAGTGGTGCAAGTTATTGCGGAAGTGTTCTCACTTGGCAGTACTGTGCCTGATGTGTCGCCTGGTTGACTCGCATTCGATAATCAGGCTTCCATATGATTCCGTAAGAGCTGTAAAAGGGTTGATAAAGAAATAAGTAAAAGCGCTTCAGTGCACTGGCAGCTTGTGCCGAAAATTCTCTTCTCTGCGTACTTTCAACGCCATTATACGTCCAGCGAGGTAGCTTTTGGTAAACGGTGTCACGACGCTGACAAGAAGCAGCCAGTTTGTCATTACGCAGGTGACGAAGCGCGTTACTCTGCGCAATCATGGATCATTTCTTCATATAAGCTTTTACAGCGTGATAATCTACTGTTCGAATAATAGTAGAAATGCAGCGGGGCTGCCGTCGCTTTGCGTTTAGAGGAAGCGTAATTTAGATCACCGACCTAACGTTCTTCACAAGAACTAGTACTAGTGTAGCGGATCGCAATCCGCTACCCCCAAGAGTAACCTTAACCCAAGGCTAATAAACTCTTCTGCTTAAAATGTAAACTGTATTTATTTATTTTATCTGCGGCAAAGCCGCCTAATTTAAAATGTATAGATTTTCCTAAATATATATATATAGTAAAATCTAAATACATGCATAACCCAGCGACGTACCGTATTCTTATTTGGACGCAATCACACCATGCCCATCTCGTGTGACACACACACCTGTTACCAGGGTACATACAACCCCGTTAAACGCTGCCCCATTGAGACTGAGAACATTTGCAGTTCCAATCGATTTTTGCCTCAACGAGGCTTGCGTGTCCGTTAGACACTGCGTTGAGACAAAACGACGTCCGTGCTCAATGAGCCCTGTTTTACGAAACTGAAATCACCAAATCTCGCTGGTTCTGACAGCGCACACGGGCAGAGCCCAACTTCGTTTCCCACACGCGGTGCAATGTCGGACAGTGCATCCGCGGCATCGAAGGATGTAAATCCTAGTCTCGATGAGCCCTGCTCGTGCCTTGCGGACCCCATGTCCATTTTCTGACCTCTCATCACCTGAGGGACGTGGTGTCGTCACCAATAACCTCGATGAGGCACAGAAGCGGCAGCTTGAAGCTGCCCGTAAGGCGGCTCTGATGCGCGCCCATCCACGGCCGGTCATTGACCCT